AGAGAGAGAGAGAGAAAAAAAAAAAGTCCAACAAACATTGACACAATCATTTATTATCAATTTATTATTTAATTATCTTATTATTCGATTATAATATAAACAAAAGGAAGAAAGCAAGAAAAGATTACGGGATGTTATCAATAAATATGTGATACCAAAAAGAATGATAAGTATTCAGTAATAATAGTATGTTATAATCATAAAATTGTTGATGTATGGTGATAAATGGTGATAAAAATAATAAAATAGGTATATGTTAAATTCAGGAATAATAATTTTTTATTATTTATCGTTCAGAATTAAAGAAAAAATGTGCAACTCATAAGTTGTTAGTTGCTGTATAAACTGCTTCCCGTTCAAATCCAGAATAGATATTTGAACAAAACATCTTATACATCTGGAATTCCAATCTTTTTTTTTTAAACGGTAATTGTGTTGTATAGTACCACATCCATTTCAGGTAATCGTAATGATTTACCCGCTTATGTGGAAACAAACAAGTAACACTGTCGTAAAACATACATTATAACGTATTGGAAACCCGAAATGAAGTTTGTCATGTCCCAAACTTTGTTATTTCAATCCGACGATGTTGTGAACCAAAATAGAATAAAGCTTAAAAAGTAGTTCATCCAAAATGAAAATTCTGCAATGAATTTGTCCTAATTATCATGTAATGATGCACTAATTGAGGGATAAAATTTATGTAAAAAACGAACAACAAAACAAAAAACAAACAATTTGAAACAAACAATTTGAAGGAAAAAAATAACAGAAAAATTTACATCTCTAGCAAACATTAACTTCAAAAACAATTCCAAGTAAAAGTTAACATACCAAACAGCAGTGCTTAGAAACCAGGAACCAAACGAAACACTATGCTAATCCTTCATAATATTTCATAAGAGATCAGCAAAATCATCATTCAGTACAAATCCGATGGTGTATCTAACGTCAAGCCCAATGTTATAGTTATTGGTTAAACTCACGACGATGTCGGCAAGATCAATATACCTACCCCTTCAAAATGCAGATTCCGAATCAATCAAATTGATGGTAGATGGGTGAATAAATGAATCGTTTCAATTTCAAGTGGTACTATAGCCTCTCCTAGACATACAGCTTAACAACCCTATACTGTACCACACACTAAAACGCAGAAAATACATTTACTGAAATTAGTCCCTTGCTTAAAAAGCCCAAATTTCTCTTCCTAATGAAAAAAAACAACTCCTGTCAAAATGTGCAGTTATTTTTCTCATTTATACAAATTTGCACTAAACCTAAGCTTTGAAATTTTCTTTTCAAAACCCTTACTTTTTCATTTAAGTATATAATTCCCTCATTAGATTTTGTAAAAAGAGAGGGACATTACACAGAAAGGAGAGGGGAGGTGGTAACAGCTCAAAACGCAGTCCTTTAATTCCATATGAATTAAACCAAAAAATTTCAAATGCAAAAACTACGCTAATGCTGATTCTGAATAAGCAACGGATAATGTCGAGGAAAGTAAGAGATCAAGGCTGGAGTGATTTCTAGAATTATTAAAAGATTAAAATGGTTGTTACAAATAAACATTGGATAGGGACATTTGTTTAATCGCCCAGGTGCAATTCTCTTAACTTAACTGATATCGGTATAAAATGAACAAAGATACACAAACAGATGAATTAATCAAAAACTCCATGAATGAGATGTATTTAACAGACATACACTATGAACTAGTCCAATTTTTGTGAGAATTCGTTGAAAGGTGCACTAAAATGAAAATGGGAAAAGCAATTACAGATATAATCGAAGTGTAAAATATTATTGAATCAGCTGCTAGTTTGGAAATGCGAAGGGAAAAAATGTTTGGGGACAAAAATAAAAGAAACCTGTGTCACATAAAATCATAAATTTTTCCTCTTTTCGCTTGTGACAGAAGAAAAAAAACCCTACATTGCATCAGTTTTCAATTTTATCGAATTCTCAACCAACCTTGTAATTTCCTGGAGCAATATAAAGCAGCAGAGAAAAATAAGAAATAAAAAATAAACTAACAATCCCTCATTCAAAGCGTAATAGTAACAAATGAAAAACAATCAAAACACATTTCAGATCCGTTTTGTGAACATCTGTCAGTTGATCCGTTTCTCATAAAATTTCAACGCCGAAATATTTGAGAATAAATTTCGCAGTGTACCCTTCTCCTTTCTGCAATTTTCACAGGCCTTTCGAGCATCGTATAAGCTCTTCCGTACTTTCGGACAAATCAAAACCTGTAAAAGAACAAATAGACAAGCGTCTCGAATACAGTCCCCAACTTTATTTCGTCAAAATAATAAATTTAGAATCTTAGGTATGGAGTGGAAAAAAAAACAAACAGAAACGAGCATTTTTATTCATTTTTATGGCATATATGAAGGAAACTATGATACATTGAATTTGGCGATAGATAATTAATTACAAACAAAAACTCCATGGATTTCATTCCACGCATCATAAAAATTAGATTAGAAAACTGAAATAAGGATCTGGCCATCGAATCCACATTGCTACCTTGTTGCTAAAAAAGTTCACTTTCCTAACAAGCATCCCTAATCAAAAAAGAACTTCCCTGATTTATGTCCTCTTCGCTGCTGTGGCTATAATAACAGGAAAAGACCGATAAAATACGATCTTTGATTTGGTCAGCAATATCGTCGTTTCGAGTTACCACGTTTAAAGCCAGTACTCCTGGAAATCGGAAAAAAAGTATAAGCCAAACGAATTTAAGGAACCGAATTAAAAGGAAATCAGTTTCTGACATAGTACAGAATAATTTATTATATTGATTTATTAGGTTATCTCTTGTAAGCAGCATACGTTTCAGAAACTATGTTTTATTTTAATATTCCATATAAGATCACCATGAATGAGAATCATTCTCTGTATATTTAAATATTTTCGATGCAGATATTAACTTTAGTTTCGATGTTAACGTTAACCAATATAAAAGTTGAAACAACAGAAAGATAAGCATAAACAAAATGAATAAAAAGCGTGAATAGACTTCACGTGAAATATGCAAACATCAGTAAAAAGCATTCCGAACATGTATTATTTGAACAGAAAAGTTGAAAAAAAAAAACGAATTGAAACGTACTGAGAACATGAACATGAACAGATTATTTTGAACTAAAATTCGAAAATGATTCAAATAATACCCATGATATACATAAGATTTTCTCAAACTATGAAATAATACGGTGATAAGCTCTACCTCTTCTGCGAAGTGCAGCATACATTTTCTTCAAAGCATCCTCCGTTACAAATGATGGTAATGGACAACTCAGTCCATCTTCGTGAGTGCTTCCAGCTACATCAATGAATATAGCATCAAATAAGCGTGATTCATCTGAAATTTTGATATATGCCAGAAACCTTCGAAAATAGTGATAAGATTCTGAAACTAAGATAAATATACTCAAGGCTCGACCTTTCATTAAACATGTCGAAGCTAATCAATTTAAATCAGAGTGATTACTTACCTTCTTCTTCCGCCAGTTCGTCAACATATGTGAGAGCATCCCCGATTACAACGGTCAAGCGCGGATCACTATTGAAAGAAAACCACTGTTTTGCAATTTCTACCATCTTCTGATCTAATTCCACAGCTACGACAGACATCTGGAATAATACACCAGAAATTTAACCTATGATTGCACATGTATGGTCAGTCAACGCGTTATCTCGTTATGGTAATTGGCAGTTAAAATCCATATACAACTTCTAGGTTTGGACTTACTGATGGGAATTTGATGTGCAGAAAAGAAGGCAGAACACCACCACCTAATCCAAGAACAAGTAATCTGAAATGACACTATTAATACTGTGCGGTTAATTTAATTATGAAATGAATACTCGTAAATATGTAAGTTACAAGGATAATATAGTGAATAAACAATAGCATGATCTAGGGAAAAGTACCGTAATTTGGTTGCATGATTCAGTTTTTCACCAGGACGTAACATGAAGGGTAGTGCTGCCAGCATCCCTTCGTGATATTCCGAGGTTAATGTATGTAAATCCACAATTTCGCAACCTCTTTTATTTCCTGCAGAAGAACATTAGTGAAATCAAATTATTCGAAAAATCACGAACGATTGGAGGTTTCAGCAAAATAACGATAAATACTGCCCTAAGCAATAAGTTTGCCTTGCACATACAACTTCCTCTTTGAAACATTGGTTCTCCTACCTGTAAGATAACTGTTGAATGATCTGCTTATGTGAGGGGGTGGGGAAAAAAAAACTTTCCAATGATCTGGAGCGTATACCTTTTCAACACACTGAAATATGAAATCCAGTTATAGATCCCAAATGTATGCTTCTGAGATTAGAAAATAGTCGACACCATATATATTACTCCTACAGTCAAGTTTATATTTTCATTGCGGATAAATATACGCGACACTTCCATCTTATTATTAAAATAAAACTTACGGATCAGCTTAACTTCAGACTGTACTAGATTTTGGGCAGACAAAAAGACAAGTCTTCGGTATATCGAACTTTGTATGCGGACATCTTCCACTGCCCATGGCCCGTTGACATCTGAATACCCTGTGGCACGAGTTTCTTTAACATCAATTTTGCCAAGAGAAAGAAATTCAACCACTGATTTACGCTGAAATAAAAAGTTCTATATTTAGTTGAAAATATAGCATATGACATAAAATTTAGTAATCAAAATTGAAGTGTAATATACTGTTTGAAGACATAATGGAGTCAACTGAATTATACACAGAATCAGTTCATCCTTAACCTACTTCATATTTTCATATACCTGGTCACGACAAAGTGGAGTATATAATCTTAACTGTTTGATGAATAGATGATGGAGTCAGCTGAATTACATATGGACCCAATTCATCCTTAACCTGCTCCATATTTTCATATACTTGGTCACGATAAAGTGTAACAACAGCCAACCGATCCTTACCGCATTGTCTGCGCAATGATAAACGCCCTCTTTCAGTAGCGAAAAACCAATCATGATCTCTAAAGTAGTGAGATTTAATTTTGAAAATACCTTCTGATGCATATAAACACTGACTGCCTAAATATTAAAGTACAACAACAAGTGTCATCTAGAGCTACAACAACTTTACAAGAACGGAAACAACCTGCCAACTGGGACGATGAAGACAGCAAAGGAACTTAATACATTGACTCTCGGGTCGTCAAGAACTGCTATCTGATACCGTGGTTTTTCATCGTCACCATGTAGTATCAAATTTACTTCGTATTCCAATTTTCTGAAAAGTTTCAGAAATGCATGGTTTAAGCAAAACTAAGAGATACTCATCACGTGTACTGTGCTCACTCCAACGTTATCATAATCCGCAGCAAATTTACTGTAAACACCAGAAACTTTAACTGAAGAATTATCAAAACGTCCTTTTGCTTAAAATCACATGTGGCACTTTCATGCTAATGATGCATACTTAGAACACAGGTGGCGAAATCTCGAGAATTCCTGTTCCGCATTTATCGCATTGATTAAGTTCTCCGAAGACGAGAATTTAATCGCTTTCTTTTCCATTGAAAGTATCAATTCCATGTACTGCAAATACAGAGACCAATAATTATCAGGTAGTCAACGCTAAAAGCTTATATTTGTCCTATATTACATCTAACAAAATTGTTCCAAACATATCTTTACAATTACTGTTAAGTAGTAGAACTGGTAGGATAACCAGCACTGTGCGTCGCTGTTGGGGAAACAACCGTATACTCCACACGGTCGAGGGCTTACAGTGTTGCTGGGTTAAACTATTTCCCTTTAATTCACTATTCACTAAAGTTACCGATAGTTTCATTAGAAAGACAAGAAATGACAGGATAAACCTTTTAATTATAGTTGATATTCAAAAGGATTGAATTGGTATGAACTTAATCTAGGCTTTGTCAAGAGTAAAATTACATAAAAAATTCACTGGTGTAGGAAGGGAAACACGAAGTTTTGTCGCGATAAGCAAAAACACTGGCAAAGGAAACTTCCAATTGGTATCAATATTCTTTTCAACCCGTATAATAAAATTCTTCCTACAATTCACATTATTCACATCTGTACACAATAAATGTGACAATATGGTGATTGATCTCAGTTAGAATACATGCACATATCTGTGTCCACAAGGAAAGCGAAGCTGAGATCAGGATGAATTTCAAAAGATATTCGATTTCTTTCTCTTTCCATCATGTTCCTCATGTTCCATACTTTTTTTCTTTTTGCACTTTTTCCTTTACTCCTTTTACAAACCATTGTTTAGAACGGGAGAAACAGATATAAGAAAATGGCTTCCACGAAACTTAAAATTACATTTCATAGCTAACCAGAATTAAACCGATTCACAACTGGTTCTCTTTTATTCCTAAACTTGACTAAAATTTCTTTCCAACATATGAAAAAGTAAAACAAACCGTTTCTCAAAAATGCCATGTATGAATTGAGCACATTTTTTTGAGCAAGAGTAAGGATAATGTATCGACCTCCGACCGTAAGCACTCGGCATATCTCAGCAAACATCTTTTCTACGTCTTCCAACATGTCCTCATGTGCGGATGGAATTAACGCATCAAGCGTTCCCTTGTCC